CACTCTAGACTGTCAACGCTCTAGACTGTTTGTCAACACTCTAGACTGTCAACCTCTCTAGACTGTTTGTCAACAATCCTAGACTGTCAACGCTCTAGACTGTTTGTCAACACTCCTGGACTGTCAACGCTCTAGACTGTTTGTCAACACTCTAGACTGTCAACGCTCTGACTGTTTGTCAACACTCTAGACTGTCAACTCTCTAGACTGTTTGTCAACAATCCGGACTGTCTGTCTACACTCTATACTGTCTGTCAACACTCTAGTTATCTTTGTAGAGTCCATTTCTCTTATGTTTGTCTGCATCGATTCCTACTTTTACAGCAAAAATTATAAAAATCAAAGATAAAAATATATAAAATCCGAGAACGATGACCTCCTCCCATGCTGTTTGTGCCTGGACCAGTGTGGCTGTTGAGTGTCGTTCATACCTTTAATCCAGAGCTGAGATATGACAAGTGGTGGAGCCATAATGGTTGCATGGTAATGTTAAGATCTACTACTACAAACTACTACTCCTACTACTTACTACTTCTTACTACTACTAATACTTACTACTAATACTACTACTACTACTTTTACTTCTACTACTACTACTACTACTATCTAAAGTACCTGGATGTTATTAACTGTTCCTAAGTAATAGTGACCGAAACTCATTGTGTGTAATCTGCCTCATACGTCGCATTGTTTACTTTGTTGACCTAAATTTCTATTAATAAAACCTATTTTTTTTCTATTATTAGAAGACCCACAAGAAGAATTAAACGACCAGAAACTAAAACATCCAGAATTAAACATTATTACGAGTGTTAATATCCTCCAGGAACTACTGGAGGAAGAAAAAGAATTTGTCTTAAATTCCTTCCACCTCAAAAATAATAAATAATTCTCCTGTTAATATAATTTGTTTGTTGTTTATGTTGTGATAGATATAATTATTCATTTGTTTTTGTTCATATCAGTATTATATTGTGTATTTGTTTCTTTTACGGTGTTTTGTTGTTCGTGTTGATCCAGACGAGGAAGTGAGATAATGAGGAATCAGTCTCTATTACAGGTGTGTTATACCATTGGGAACGTCGTGGTATACTCACGACTGTATCGAATCATAACTGAATCGAGTAATGACTGTATCGAGTAATGACTGTATCGAGTAATGACTGTATCGAGTAATGACTGTATCGAATCATAACTGAATCGAGTAATGACTGTATCGAGTAATGACTGTATCGAGTAATGACTGTATCGAGATATGGACTGTATCGAATCATAACTGAATCGAGTAATGACTGTATCGAGTAATGACTGTATCGAATCATAACTGAATCGAGTAATGACTGTATCGAATCATAACTGAATCGAGTAATGACTGTATCGAATAATGACTGTATCGAATCATAACCGAATCGAGTAATGACTGTATCGAATAATGACTGTATCGAATCATAACAGAATCAGTAATGACTGTATCGAGTAATGGCTGTATCGAATCATGACTGTATCGAATCATGACTGTATCGAATCATGACTGTATCGAATCATGACTGTACCGAATCATGACTTTACTGAATCCTAGCTAAACCGAATCATGACTATACCGAGTTCTAGGAATCTTAACGTAATTCACTAACCGAATCAACTACACGGGTGCGTTCTGATGCCCAACTTATAATTAAATTTTGTTTACCAAGAATAAAGTGGGACGCGCCAGTGTGTGTGTGTGTGTGTGGTGTGTGTGTGTGTGTGTGTGTGTGTGTGTGTGTGGGGGGGTGTGTGTGTCTGAATGATAGTGTGTCTGAAAGAGGCAGGGGCGAATCCGCGAGTCCATTGATTTAATCCCATGAGTACGATGACATCCATGAGTACGATGACTTAATCCGTGAGTACGATGATGACAATCCGTGAGTACGATGACTCAGTACTCACGGGTTACGTCAACGTACTCAAGAGTTAACTTGTTCTTCTAGTGAGCCGCAGACAGAAACAGTTACGATCAGTAGCCACACCACCCCACCCACAGTAACACCCGCCCACAGTCAGTAGTTACAGTCAGTAGTTACAGTCATAGTACAGTCGAGAGTTTTATGCCTGGCGACCGAACGATGAACCTTGGAAGACAGGAGGGATGATGAGTAGTTAATGAAGTGGATAGAGAGGATAGTTTAATGAAGAAATGTGCGTATGAGAGGGATAGAGAGGGATAGATAGATAGATAGATAGATGAGAGAGGAGAGGAGAGAGAGAGGGATAGATAGATAGATAGATACATACATACATAGAGAAGGTTTGATAGATAGAGAGGGAGGGGGATAGATAGATAGATGGGGAGAGAAATGAGATACAGAAATGAGAGATACAGAAGAGAAATGAGAGATACAGAAGAGAGATAATAACGTTAACCCAACAAATGATGTTAAGTGAACCGATTATTTCTCGTAATAGAAGTTGTCAAGTATCACGTAGAGATTAGACACCCATTTGATTTCATCTATTGATTAAACACCTTTACAGTATTAACTAACAAAGCTAACCTAATTTAGTCTAACTATAACCTAACCCCTAACCTAACCCCTACAAGCTAACCTAATTTAAAACAAACTACATAACCTAACCTAATCCTACCCAACCTAACCAAATTTAGTCTAACTTCCATAACCTAACCTGACTAACCTAATCTAATCTAACCCAACCAATCATAACCCAACCTGACTTAACTAATCTAATCTAACCTAACCAATCATAACCTAACCTAACTTAACCTAATCTAATCTAACCAACCAATCATAACCCTAACCTAACTTAACATAACACCTAACTTAATCTAACCTGACTTAACACGTGGAAAACAGTTAGGTGTCTAATCTTCAGCTGATCCAATCTTGAGAATCCATCTTCATCTGCGTAAGATAAAAAAAAATGGCTGACAATATTAGCCTGAGACTCTACCTAAACCAATTAAGGTAGAGTAATATAATTAATAGGGTAATGGGTATTGTATTGTAATAGAGTGGGGTATTGTAATAGGTAGAAGTATTGTAATAGGGTAGGGTATTATAATGTAATAGGAAGGGTATTGTAATAGGGTAGAGAGTATTGTAATAGGGTAGAGGTATTGTAATGTAATAGGAAGAGGGTATTGTAATAGGGTAGAGAGTATTATAATAAAGTAGAGGGGTATTAGTAATGTAATAGGAAGAGGGTATTGTAATAGGGTAGAAGTATTTAGTAATAGGGTAGAGGGTATTGTAATGTAATAGGAAGGGTGTGTAGGGTAGAGAGTATTGTAATAGGGTGAGGGTATTGTAATGTAATAGGGTAGAGGTATTGTAATAGGGTAGAGAGTATTGTAATAGGGTAGAAGTGTTATAATAGGGTAGAGAATATTGTAATAGGGTGGGGTATTGTAAATGTAATGAAGAGGGTATTGTAATAGGGTAGAGGGTATTGTAATAGGGTAGGAGCGTATTAAATGTAATAGGAAGAGGGTTATTGTAATAGGGTAGAGGGTATTGTAATAGGGTAGAGGGTATTGTAATAGGGTAGAGAGGTATTGTAATAGGGTAGAGGGTATTGTAATTGGTATTGTAAAAGGGTGTAGGTTATTGTAATAAAATTGGGTATGGAGTAACACAAGGGTAGGGGGTAACACACTAAGGGTAGGGGTAACACACTAAGGGGTAGGGGTAACACACAAAGGGTGGGTAACACACAAAGGGTGGGGTAACACACAAAGGGTAGGGGTAACACACAAAGGGTAATGGGTAGCACACGTCAAAGGTGCCCCCTTTAAGGTACTGTATATTAATGCACACACAGCACAATATTGACGCGACAGATCAATATGGCGGACCACAAAGACGACAACCAATAATGCGGCTGTTGGAACAATATTGTAGGTTCGTCTCCTCCTCCCTCCTTTCCTTCTTTCCTCCTCCTCCTTTCTCCTCCCTCCTCCCTCCTTTCCTCCTCCCTCTTCCCTCCTCCCGTGTTCCATTACCGGCACGCACGACACTTCCTTCCGTCCGTCCTCTCCTCTCCCGTCTTCCTCTACAGCCGACTTCCTTCCTCCGCCTCATTCACAAGATAAACATATCCGGGGAAGGGAGTTAGAACACAGGGGGAGGAGGAAGGAGGATTAGAGGCACGGGGGAGGGAGGGGGGAGTTAGAGGCACAGGGAGGAGGTAGGGGAGTTAGAGACACAGGGGGGTAGGGGAGAGTTAGAGACACAGGAGGGTGTAGGGAGTTAGAGACACAGGGGAGGGGGAAGGGGAGGTTAGAGACACAGGGGGGGCGGCGGGGAGGGAGAGTTAGAGGCACAGGGGAGGGTAGGGAGGTTAGAGGCACAGGGGGGGGAGGTAGGGGAGTTAGAGACACAGGAGGGTGTGGGGAAGGGAGACGGGGGAGGGAGAGATAGAGACTCCAGGGAATGTGAACTTTAGGCTCCATGTTGTATGATCCGGAAGCAACAATTTGGACTCCTGGAAAACTCGATATTCATGGGGTCGTTTTAGCGAGGTTTTTATTTATTAATTCATATATTTACTGTTTTGTTGTTAGTTTTTATTTGTTGGGTTTTTGTAATTTTTAAGAAAGTTTAAGTCGTAGTTTCGTTAGATTGGTGTTAGTTTAGGTTTAGGAGTTGATAATGTACAGTCCTTCAATAGTGTGTTTACAGGGGCTCGTCATGTAAACAGTCCACAAATCATTATTGAAATATTTAATTTAATATTGCTTTAATTTGATTCCATAGTATGTTTACTAGTGCGTGTTTCCTTCTGTCAAATAAACAAACACACAAAACCTGACGAGCTCCTGTAAACGCACTAGTGAAGGGGACTGTACGTGGAGTGTCAGTTTTCCACAGGTGCCACCTCGGTGTTAGGAACCAAGTGGTGTATTGGTCCCCCAGTGTCGACCAGGAGGAAGATGTGTCTGTAGTAGTGATGATGGAGGAGGTCAACGTGTCTTGCTCTCCATAAACGACTATCAATGGGTCATGTACACAGGTGAGACAGATATGTAAGTGAACTCACTGTCAGTTGTTTAGGATCAAAGTCGACCACCTGTCACCTTAATGTTGAACGTTTCGTGGCGGTGTTGACATTTTTCTGTTAAATGATCTTGTATATGAATCAGTAAAGGCGGTGTTATGATGAGTGACGTCATGAGTCCAGACACGCACGGAACTAGTTAATGTGATGGTGGTGGCGGAAGACTTGGTGGTCGAGGACTGAAAGATGATGTTTATTATATCGTCGAGAGAGAGAGAGAGAGAGAGAGAAAGAAAGACAGACAGAAAGAGAGAGAGAGCAGGAACACCCACGAGAACATCCAGGTGTACACAGTTACACTGAGGGGCAGGCTACACCACTGCCCGCGACACCACAAAACTACCCAGTGTAAAATCCTATTCCAAGTGTAAATCCTACAAATAAAATTCCTAGGCGAGAGGGCAAGGGGCACACCACACCACACACCACACCTCCCCGGGGCCAAAGTTACCTCCTCCTTGATCCTTGAGGAGGTAACGAGGCCAGAGGTCACCTCAGACGCCCTCCTCCTCCTCCCATTTCTCCCCAGCAGAGGTGCCCGCCCCCACCTCCACATGCGGGGACGAGTGCCCAAATGTGTCTCAGATGTTGCTGTGAATATTACAATAATAACTACAATACACCCAGGTCATCGCTGCCTGGGCTAGGTACCGCAGTGTCTTGAGTCGTCACGTCTACCTCACCGTATTTCGTGTTAGCTCGAGCTGCTTTTGGTTTGTCTCTGCAGAAGTAAGTGGAGAATGATTGTTAAGATGATAATGCTCACACTGGATACATTTGGCAACTCAGTGTCTTACTTTAAGGTTCTTGTTACTATTTTATGTTGAGTTATCTTCCATTGCTTGGATCAAAGCTTCACTCAGTTAACCCGTTGGTAAAATTGCGACTATGCTGTTAACAGTTGACTGCTATAGCCTGTTTAATGACTATAATATGGCCTAATATTAATTGCAAGCTTATAATTGATAACCAGAATGTAGACAGATACTTTTGAGGTATGAGATAACATCTAGTCTTTGACGTGAATGGTGGGGTGATGCTATGAATTTCCTTTCGTAATAGGTTTAGCATGACTTGAATTAAGAGGACATATCAGGGTAGTAGTGGGCCCTGTCCACGTGTCTGGACCACGTGTGTATAAACATCTCCTTGATACTGTGTCTTGAGGCCATACAACCAGTGCCATGTCAACATTTAACTCTTGAACTTAAACTTAAAAATAAGGTGTTTAGGGAGATCATCACTCCGGAACACACGATTTTGTGTACATGTTTAGCTCAATTTAAGGATTTAAGGTGACATATCATGAATTTTATGGTCCCAACACACACACAGTATTAAGGTGTTGTCTCACACATGGCCCACACACCAGTACCGGGCCACCCTAGAATCCTGGAAGCTCTTAAGGATCATGTCCATGTAGCATTTTGCCTTTTACTTGCATAAGCTAATAATTAACTAATTTAAGTTCTCATTTGCGGTCGACTTGTATTGAGAGCAGCAAGTCCAGTCATATCAAACTGTTATTATTATTATTATTATTATTATTATTATTATTATTATTATTATTATTATTATTATTATTATTATTATTATTATTATTATTATTAGGATTGTATATGAGCTATGACCTGCCTTCAGTAATGTGTTTAACCATTAATCTGTATATTGTTATTATTATTTCAACACTGTGACTACAACTGAAAAGTAGTTACGTTTACTATGTACAACCCTCAGTTATCCTCACAGTCATCACACTGATAGTTTGAGGACGGTCAACAGAGCATATCACCACATAGTCTTACCATACATCCATAGTGCAGGAACTCATTCAGACATCACTTCACACAACCACGCAACCACACTACCACTCAGCCACGCAACCACACTGCCACTCAGCCACGCAACCACATAGCCACAACCTTATCCAACTACACCGCCAGGCAACCACACAACCATATCACACCACCACACACTACCACACAACCTCACCACCACACACCACCATCCCACCCCACCTCACACACCACCACCCACACTACCACACCACCACACCATGAAATTCTCTCACCTTACCATCACACAACCACATACTGCCACACAACCACACCACCACACTGCCACACCAATCCCACCACACTACCCCACCACCACCCACCCACACACTACCACACCACCACACCATGAAACCCTCTCTCACCTTACCATCACACAACCACATATTGCCACACCGCCATCCCACCACCTACCACAACCCCACCACACCATCCCACCAACCACACCACCACACATGCACACCATCCACCAACCCCACACCACCAACACCACACCCACACACCCACCACACACCCACACACCACACCACCACACACTACCACACACCACCACCACCATGAAACACTCTCACCATCACCAGTATGCTCACTCCAGCCTTGACAGAGATATAAGCTAAAGATTCTCGCTTTGTTTAATCACTTGAGATAGATAGAACTTAACTACGTAAGGGCTAGGTTTCCAGTGCACTATAACCCCCTCCTCCCACCCCCCACACGCTCCCACCTCCCTCACTCACCTGAAGCTTGCGGCACCCAGCTACACTCCTGCCCCTCCCACCACCTCCACTTCAGTTATTTTAATCCATTCTTTATCCGGTTGGTCAATTTTTTTTTTTTTTTATTTTTTTTTTTTTTTTTTTTTTGTGTGTGAAACTATTTTGATTTTGTTTTGTAATTATTCTAGCATAGTTAATGAAAAGCCTTGTCCATCCTACACGGCTTGGTGAGTAGTTTAACCAGCGCCTTCCTTACTACCACCGTGTTAATGTGTCCATACTAGCCTGTGTCCTACTACCAGCCGTTAATGTGTCCATATCCTACTGTGCTCACCACCACCACCAAGCCTGTGTCCTACTACCAGCCGTGTTAATGTGTCCATATCCTAGCCTGTGTCCTACACCAGCCAATGTCCACCACCAGCCGTGTTAATGTGTCCATTCTAGCCTGTGTCCTTACTACCAGCCGTGTTAATGTGTCCATCCTAGCCTGTGTCCTTACTACCAGCCGTGTTAATGTGTCCATATCCAGCCTGTGTCCTTACTACCAGCCGTGTTATGTCCATATCCTAGCCTGTGTCCTTACCACCAGACCGTGTTAATGTGTCCATATCCTAGCCTGTGTCCTTACTACCAGCCGTGTTAATGTGTCCATCCTAGCCTGTGTCCTTACTACCAGCCGTGTTAATGTGTCCATATCTTTCTTTAATCCTCATTAATATCCTGATCGGTGGGTGAGTATTTCTCACTTCTAACTATCCTCACTAGCCGTTCCTCACTGTTAATTGGTCAATATCCTCAATAAATCCCTTCGCCTTGCGTGATTCAGTGGTGTTCATCAGTTAGCATCACTGGTTAATGATTTCAATATAAACTCCCTAAAAAAAAAAGGTATATTTTATTAAATTTGTGCTAAATCCGCCCAACTTTTCACCAATAATCATTTCTGTCGACGCCCCATTTTCTATCAAAGTCCCATTTTCTGTTGGCGTCCCATTTTCTGTTGACGTCCCATTTTTTTGTCAAGTCCATTTCTGTTTGCGTCCCATTTTGTTACGTCCATTTTTGTCAAAGTCCCATTTTCTGTTTGCGTCCCATTTTCTGTCGACGTCCCATTTTCTGTCGACGTCCCATTTTCTGTCGACGTCCCATTTTCGTCTACACCTCTTTTTTCTGTACCACAAACAATTACACATGACCTTACCTTATATATTTCTTCACTTGTTCAAAAATGATTCTAAAAAAAAAGTTTCCCACGTTAAACTTTAAAGTAATGTTGTTAGTAATTAGTGTATTAATTAAAGACCTACAAATGGATAATAAATAAACATTGGTGATGATAAAATAGTCACGTGGCCCTCATTATTTGTCTTCAGGTTAACAGGTATTAGAATAAACAGTAAATTGACACTATCCATTTTGATGAGTCATTATTTTAATCATTTGTAATCACAAATGACTGTAATCAGAAGGTATATAATAACATTGTATTGAGGTTTTAATATACAAACATAATAAAAAATATAATTAAAATAAATATTGTAGGATAACTGAAAAATATCAATTTATTCCATACCCACCAATAAAAACACGAGAATTTGATGATAATTAAAATATACCTGTAATATACCTGTCTATAGAGGTAATTAGTTATAAAGACAGTGATTGAGGCACTTGAGGCCTTCATTACCCACCTGGATTACCTGATTCTCTCTCAACTTAACCCATCTCCGCCAACCAACCCCACTTAACCCCACACGGCCCACCCAACTCCACACGGCCCACCTAACCCACCTGACTAACCTATCACTTGACTCACCTCACACTAACCAACCCACCTCCACAGTAACCAAACCACCTAATCCACTTAACCCACATCAGAGTAACCGACCCACCTTATCCACTTCCCCTGACCCACCTCACAGTAACCGACCCACCTAACCCAGCCCACACAACCCACCTCACACTAATTTGAGTTGTGATATTTTGTTCCCTCCTGCCCCTGTTCCTCGTAGGACCCAGCATGCGCTACAGCACCACCCTGCCACCCTCACACCCACCACCCTACCACCCACCACTTTACCACCCATTCCCTGCCACCCACTCCTGCCATCCACCACCCTACCACCCATCACCTTACCACCCATTCCTGCCACCCCCACTCCCTGCCATCCACCACCTTACCACCCACCACCCACCACCCACCACCTCCACCCACCACCTACACACCCACTACCTGCCACCCATCACCCACTACCTGCCACCCACCACCCACTACCTGTCATCCATCACCTGCATCTTGTCTTCCGGCCACCAAACCACCTGCATCTTGTCGACCTGCCACCCAGCATGATAGCTTCTAAGCACTCCCCACGTCGACCTCCCTCCCCTCCTCCTCCTCCTCCTCCCATCTATCCATCACCAACCCTCCTTTAACTCTGTCTCCCCCACTCTCTCTTACCCAGTCATTCACCCCTTCCCTCCCTCCCTACCTCCCCCCTCCCTCCTTTTCTCCTTTCTCTCCCTTTCTATTCTCCCCACCTTCCGTCTCTCTATGCTCCTTACCTCCCATCACCCAACTATACACACCCACACCTCCCTTCCCACTGCCCTCCTCCGTCCCTCCCTTCCCCCTTCTCCCTCTCATTATCAGATCTTCCCTCACGTCTCCCCCACACACACACACTTGTAACCCTCAGATGATGCCCTCACTTACCCCTCACCCCTCTGGAGTATCTCACCCCAAGTCTTCCCTCACCTCTTCGTCCTTCCCCTCCACCCCCTACTCTTCTCATCCCTCCTTTAGTAGCAGTATCCTCCTCCCTCCCTACCTCCTCCCTCCCCCCTGCCCTTCCCATCTTTCTCACTCCCCCCTTCCTCTCTCTACCCCCATCTCCTCTCTATCTCCCCATCCCCCACCTCCCCTCCCCTCCCATCCCCCCCCCCCACCCCCCCACCCCCCCCACCCCCCCACCCCCCCTCCCCCATCCCCTCTCTACCTCCCCATCCCCCTCCCTACCTCCCATCCCCTCTACCTCCCCCATCCCCACCTCCTCATTACCTCACGACCTCCTTATACCCTTCCTCCTCATTTTTTACCTGCCTTCTCCTCCTCCCTCCCTCAACTCACGTCCCTCCACCTAACCCTCCACCTTGCACACAACTAGTTTTGCATGCCCATGACCCCTCCCATCCCCTTACCACCCAAACCCCCTCCCAGCACCGCCACAATGAGTATCTTGAAGACGTATGGTTCAAGTGAGTAACACAGTGCGTTCACAGGCCTGGACATCGTATGCGACAACGCCGACCAGAAACACGTGAGAACGCTCTCGACGTTTAAGAAGAACCACAAACACTATCTACTGGATGAAGTTCCGTAGCTGTAACCTGCAGAGGCTCTCCGACTACCTGTTCCTGGGCCTGGACGTGCGGCACCTCAACATCATCAGGAGTAACGTAAGCACCATCAAGCGGTCATCACTCGGCCCTCGGAGTAACTTGCCTGCCTCGACCTCTCCAACAACAATATCTGCATGGTGAGTAAAGTGTGACTTGTCCTGCAAGGGATCAAAGACAGAGATGGAAACACACACACACACACACACACACACACACACACACACACACAGTGCCCCAGGGTTTACCTTGCAGAAAATTTACGACTCATTACCGGGACAGAATTATCCCTAATGACCTGCCTTAATTGCCCACCTTAAATGCCTTGTTTGATGGCCCTAACCACCCACAGTATTCCTCGGGTTAACTGTCTCGTTGGCTCTACTCTCTCGTGACCCAGCAGCTTAAAAAGGAGGTTCTTACATAGTTCTTCCAGGATGATTTAAGAGGTTGTAAAGTGACGCATTTAGTCGAGATATTGTTGTGGAATGTTGTGAGAATACTGGTGATGTGTTGTGAGAATACTGGTGATGTGTTGTGAGAATACTGGTGATGTGTTGTGAGAATACTGGTGATGTGTTGTGAGAATACTGGTGATGTGTTGTGAGAATACTGGTGATGTGTTGTGAGAATACTGGTGATGTGTTGTGAGAATACTGGTGATGTGTTGTGAGAATACTGGTGATGTGTTGTGAGAATACTGGTGATGTGTTGTGAGAATACTGGTGATGTATTTGTGAATACTGTTGATATGTTGTGAGAATACTGGTGATGTGTGTTGTGGGAATACTGGTGTGTTGTGAAGATACTGGTGATGTGTTGTGAGAATACTGGTGATGTGTTGTGAGAATACTGGTGATGTGTTGTGAGAATACTGGTGATGTGTTGTGAGAATACTGGTGATATGTTGTGAGAATACTGGTGATGTGTTGTAAGAATACTGGTGATGTGTTGTGAGAATACTGGTGATGTGTTTGGAGAATACTGGTAATGTGTTGTGAGAATACTGGTGATGTGTTGTGAGAATACTGGTTATGGGTTGTGAGAATACTGGTAATATTTGTGTTTGGAAAATTTCACCCCCAAAAATATTATACTGGAAAAACTATTAAAAAAAACACTCGGCTTTTACTCGGTCATGAAATAAAGGTTAAATTGTGTTTGGTTTCTGCCCCGACTATTTAGAATTTTGGTCTGGGAAGGTAAGTTTTGGTCTCAGAATAAGTGGTCTGTATTACATCACTGGTGCTGACCTGTGCTGAGTGCTGACCTGTGCTTGAGTGCTGACCTGTGTTTGAGTGCTGACCTGTGTTTGAGTGCTGACCTGTGTTTGAGTGCTGACCTGTGTTTGAGTGCTGACCTGTGTTTGAGTGCTGACCTGTGTTTGAGTGCTGGCCTGTACTGGGTGCTGACTTGTTCTGGGTGTGGCTTGTTTGCAGGTGCTGACCTGTGCTGAGTGCTGGCCTGTGTTTGAGTGCTGGCCTGTACTGGGTGCTGACTTGTTCTGGAGTGCTTGCTGACCTGTGCTGAGTGCTGACCTGTGCTGGAGTGCTGACCTGTGCTGAGTGCTGACCTGTGCTGGGTGCTGACCTGTGCTGAGTGCTGACCTGTGAGTGCTGACTGTGCTGGGTGACCTGTGGCTCCCCACAGTGTTCACAAACAGTTTCAATTTTAGTCAATAAAGGCGTGTGTGTGTGTGTGTGTGTGTGTGTGTGTGTGTGTGTGTGTTTCGTCGCCCCACCGACCATCCAACTGTCCACTATCCTCAAAGTCCAAACTCTCTTCAATGTTTCACTCTCACTTCACCCATTATCTTCCTCCACTTCACCCATTATCTTCCTCGCTACCCATTACCATCCTCACTTCACCGGCCAAACTCCCTCATACCGTGCAATCCCTCACTTCACCCGTGCAAATCCTCACTTCACCCATTACCGTCCCTCACTTCACCCATTACCTTCTCTCACCTCACCCATTATCTTCTCTCACTTCACCTATCACTCCATCTCTCTCATTCTTCTATTGATATTTATTCCTCTTCCCCTCTTCCCATCCATCACCTTCCCCTCACGTTCTCTTTCCCCTTCTGAGGATAATCTAATTTCTATTCAACCACTCAATTCCGCCTTCGTTCCTCCCTTTCTTTCCCTTTCTTTCCCTTCGTTTCCCTTTCTTTCCCCTTCTTTCTTCTTTCTCCTTCACGTCTATACCCCTAGTTCTTTCCCTTTCTTTCCCCTTCCTTCGTCCCCCTGCACGTCTATACCCCCTTTCTTTCCCTTCCATTCCCCTTTCTTTCCCCTCCACGTCAACTTTCCCCTTTCCTGCCCCTCTACGTCAGTCTGATCTTCTAATGGAATCCTTTTTTTCCCCTCTCTATTTTTTCCCTGTTTTGATGTTTCTCTAGTGCTCTTCCTTGCACACCAGAGGGATTTTTCCCTATTTTTCCCTGCCTGACGGTGATGCTTCCTCCTCCTCCTCTTCCCACTCTTCTTCTCACTGCACATGCTTCCCCCTCTCATTTCCAACTCTTCCCCCTCTCACTCTCCATTCTTCTTCTCACTCCTCACTCTTCCTCCTCTCAATCCCCACACTTCCCCGGCTCACTCCCCACTCTCCCCCTCTTATTCCACACTCTCTTCCTCTCAATCCCCACTCTTCCCCCCTCTCACACCCCACTTTTCATTTTCTCACTTCCCACTCTTCCACACTCCTCCCTCTCTCACTCCCCACTCTTCCACACTCCTCCCTCTCTCACTTCCCACTCTTCCACACTCCTCCCTCTCTCACTCCCCACTCTTCCTCACCAGGTCCCCACGGCGGCACTCTCCTCCCTCAAGATGCTGACCTTCCTCAACCTCAACTACAACCAGATCCAGGTGCTGAGTGAGGGCGCCTTCGCTGGCCTCACGGTGCTCGAACGACTCTCACTCTACGAGAACAAGATCCAGCATATCGATGACAACGCCTTCAAGGGAATCGGCAGGTGGGTGCTGGGAGGGTGGTGAAGGGGGAGGGAGAAGATGAGAGGAAGGGTTCAGGATGCAGGGAGAGGGTGAGAAGGAGGGTTCAAAGTGTAGAGAGAAGATGAGGGGGAGGGGAGAGTGTATTTGGTAGGGAGAGGATGAAAGGGAGAGTTAGACGGTAGGGAGAGGGTGAGAGAGAGGGTTAAACAGTAGGGAGAGGGTGAGAGGGAGAGTTAGACGGTAGGGAGAACATTTTCACCACCAATAACACCATCAACACTTTCCAATACCCTCACTACCATCACCACCATTTCCCTCACCCTCATCACCACCACTACCCTCACCACCACCACCTTCACCGCCACCACCCTCACCACCACCACACTCACCACCACCACTACCCTCACTACCACCTTCCTCACTACCACCACTACTACCCTCACCACCACCACTACTACCCTCACCCACCACCACTACTACCCTCACCACCACCACTACTACCCTCACTACCACCACTACGACCACTACTACCATCCTCACTACCACTACTACCACCACTACTACCCTCACTACCACCACTACTACCCTCACCACCATCACTACTACCCTCACCACCACCACTACTACCCTCACCACCACCACTACTACCCTCACCAGTACCACACGGGAGGGCCAGAGAACATAACATCACCTCACATATACCAACAAACCCACACGAGTGCCTCTGGGGTTCTCCTACAGGAAGCTGCTGCGACTCAACCTCGGCAAGAACGTGTTGACCGACATCCCAACTGACACCTTCCACCCCCTGATCAACCTGGAGGTGCTGGACCTTCACGAGAACCGCATCAGCCACATACCCGACGGCGCCTTCCAGGGTAAGCACCTTATCTGCCCTCAGTGTGTTAGATAAGAAGAGTGATCAGGACTTCCACCTCTAAAAACCATCATTAACAACTTTAAGAATACTGCTAGAAGGTATTTGAACTTGTGTAGACCTCTAGAAGATAACACATGATGTATTCAGCTGTGTATCAACATGAAAATATTATGAAAAATAAGTCACCATTGTACTACACTTACGGGGTGTAGGGGGTTGGTGTGGTGAGTCAAACAGTCACCACTCATGAACTGCCTCTTTATGTGTCACCAAGAGTAAGTTGGGTTGATCAGAGTCTCCGTGAGCCTGTAGTCTGTTTACTCAGGAGCCTGTAAAGTATATATTTCAGGATGGTGATTATATACACACATTACATTACACATTACATAGTCACATTACATTACACATTACAGTCACAACACGTTATATTACAGTATGCATTACATGAAACGCTCCGGGCAAGAACTAGAAAACACCTGAAAACGAAGTAAAAGTTTAGTGATTATGATGTAAGTGTAATTGTAAAATAAACACTTTACGCCACCTTGTTCCTCGAAGACTGCTGTAGAGTTGTTCCTTTATCTGAGAGGTTTTACGGTACAAATATTTATAGAGTTGACCTTCATCTCACCATATTCATTAATCTCTGATGGTCCATATACGTGTGACAGGTCTGCACAAGTTGGACATGCTCAAGCTGGAGCACAACCTCATCACCACCATCCAGGAGAACGTCTTCAGCGACCTCACCGTCCTCAACTCCCTCAACATCGAGCACAACCACATTGTCAACATCAGCGACCGCGCCTTCGCTGGACTCGAGAGTGAGTACTGACCGAGTCTCTTCACATGTACTCTTGATATAAGAGATATTATACGTGACTTTCTCTCTTGGTGGACTTAGGTATAGAAGAACGTGTCTGGCTGTGTTGTGTGTAAGTGCAGGTACAGCATCTAGTCCGTTGCCTTCGTGTCTACAGCTGAACCTTGATTCTCTAAGTTCTCCTAAATACTGTTTGTCTTAACTAGAGATAAAAGAACCACGGTAATCACGGTTTAGTGCAGCGTCACCGTCATTCTCCCTTTCGTTCTGTCGTCGATTATGTGAGTACAGTAAGTTAGGCGCATTCTCACACCTCCACAGTATAGGAACCCTGGCGTTAGACCTGACCCCTGTGTCCTGTGGTTCCACCTAGCGTGTCACCTCTTAAATAATGTCTTTCAGGTTTTCCTTCCCAAGCGCCTCTAAATCACCTCCAGCTTACCCCCTCCCCTACCCCCCACAATCACCCCCCCCCTCCCCCCTGGTCGTCAAGGTCTTCTCCCCAAATCACTCCCCACAACCACACCCCATCTGACCTTTGCCAAGTCATTTAAAAGTCGCTTAGCTTAATACTTATGTCATTTGCGAGACGTCCCATTTATTCTCAGTAATCATGTAAGTTTTGTCTTAATTTCATTTTACCGGAGACTTAGGATCGTTAGCCGTGTATTGTGAGTCATTAGTAATTATAAACACTTTGTCTTTATATTCAACATGTCATTTTTGTTCTCCTTATTGAGGTTCATTCCTTGTAAAATACCCGCAGCTTGGTTCCGTTTTCTATGATGGCGACTCGGTGAAAAATCTTCATTGTATCGGGATAGTTTCGTTCGCTTCAACGTTAACTGGGCAAACATACAAAATAATATGACATTTTACAAAGTTTCAATTGTTTTTTTTTACTTACTGTACAACTGTAGAACGAGAATGAAAGTGATACGTGAAAAATAAGTAACAAAAGTGGCCAGGAATTAGACGATGGCTACGGTAATCAACACACACACACAAAAAATCACTGACACGAAAAACATTATCACTCGGGCGAGGAAAGGCGGGCGTGGCCTAACGATGTGTGGTTCAATATACAGTTTTAATCGATTTTTCATCAGCATTGGGCTGTCGAACATTAGGAATGAAAGAGGGAAAAGGATAGAGAGATTTGACGCTAACATTATGGTGATGTTCTCAGTCAACCTGGAATGGCTGGAGTTGGGTCACAACCGCCTCGACCACATCCCCTCCCACGCCCTTCGCCCACTCCACAACCTCCGCCAGCTTGACCTCGACTCCAACAGGATCACCCACGTGCAGGAGGACGCATTTAAGGGCTATGGCGACACTATCAAGTACATCCTTCTCGACAAGAACAAGTGAGTGTGGACCCAACGTCTCTGGCAGGAAGTGAAGGCTAAGGAGGTCCGTCTAGGGGGGTGTTAAGGCTTCTTTATGTTTTAAGAGATTTGAGGATTACTTGTTCTTCAGCAGGATTATTTAGATTCTACTTTTTGAAGAAAGTTAAGGTTTCTTTTTACTTTATGAGGACAATTAAAGGATGTTATTTTAGTGAGCAAGAGTATTGTCTACTGTGGGGGGACGTCAGTGGGGGGTTACTTGGACCATTATGCCTTGGCCGGACATTTACCAGTAGTGGCATTAGATGATATCAGTAGAGGGCGATGATATCAAGTTAGTAGATGGTGATGATAACAATCAGAGGTCGGTCAGCGGTCAAACAGATGACACAAACTAACGCGAGGAAAGCAGATGTCTCAGCCATCATTAGTGAGGTGCAAGACGCGGGGTGGAGATGATTCTGTGTAGGAGAGGCGAGAGCGCTCCTTCTGAGTGTAATAACAACAAGAAGCACCCTGAAGCCAAGGCATAGTGGTCGCTGTGTTTACACCTAACAGACAGACGGACAAAAGGTCTTCAGAGACATTGTAATATAACTGAAGAATTATTATGCTCTGGTGAAGCTCTCGGTAGTATAAGGAGGGAGAGAGAAAGTGAAGGAGGGAGGTAGGGAAGGAAGGAGGGTTTGAGGGACAGAAGAGGAGATATGGATCAAAAGAGCGTCTTTACAGTCAATACAAACCCTTACCATACTTCAGCTACAGTAAACCCCCCAGTCTACCCCTATAACCTCCCTTTCCCCTAACCTGCCACCCTTGTAACCTGCTCACCGTTGCCTCCACAGCATCAAGACCATACCAGCGTTGTCGTTCATGGACCTTCACTCGCTGGAGTGGCTGAAGCTCTCCCACAACGAGATGACGCACCTGACCGAGGACACCGTGCAGCCCATCCTGGACACCCTCACCATGATCGACATCTCCAGTGAGTCTTCCTCCCCACCTCTCGCCTCTCTCCTCTCGCCTCTCTCCTCTCTCCTCTACCTCTCGCCTTTCTCCTTTACCTCTCGCCTCTCTCCTCTACCTCTCGCCTCTCTCCTCTACCTCTCGCCTCTCTCCTCTACCTCTCGCCTCTCTCCTCTACCTCTCGCCTCTCTCCTTTACCTCTCGCCTATCTCCTCTACCTCTCGCCTATCTCCTCTACCTCTCGCCTCTCTCCTCACCCCTTGCTTCTCCCCGCTGCCCTCTTTCTCCACCATCTTGAGGGATCGTTTGAGTCAAACATAATGCAGTAATTATTGATGGGGTAAATTGTGTTGATGGTACTTTCTCTTTTGCTTTCTCCTCTTTATGGTACTTTCTCATTTATTTTCTCCTCTGGTACTTTCTCTTCTGCTTTTTCCTCCTTGTGGTACCCTTTTCTCCGCTACTTTCTTATCCCTATAATACTTTCTCTTCTGCACTTCTAGCATTTTCATTTGTGCTTTCTCGTGCTAGCAGAAATTTCACTCTGTTGTTTCACCTTAAGACTTGTACTTTCACTCTTCACAACACCTTCATATGTACTCTTACCTGAAATAAAAAAAAAACTTTCCCCATAGTTTTCATCAATAATTTCACCCACCCCAGTACTTTCACCTCCCCTCCTAATACTTTCTCTTGCTTCATCCTAGTAATACTTTCACACTATGTCAAGCTGTTCAATTGTCTTCAGCCTGCGAGCCCGCCCTGGCGAATACATTCTCTCTCTCTCTCTCTCTCTCTCTCTCTCTCTCTCTCATATACATACATATCTCACTCTTCGTCATTGGTATCAACACCCTCACGTGCACCCTCTCCACCCCCGCCTCCGTCGTGGGGTGGTGTTCCTCATCCTACAGACAACCCACTAGAGTGCAGCTGTGACCTCCTGTGGCTACGTAAGTGGCTGAGTAACCCCAACAACCGCGAGAATCTGGTCTTCGAGAACGACCACATCTGCATCACCAAGGACCGCAAGTCTCACGCCATCATTAATCTGCCCTTCCTGGAGTTCAACTGTCCGGTTCATATGCCAACTGAGGTAAGGAAATCAGCGTTCAGTTTGCCTGGGGGAATGGTGGGATTTTTTTCCACTCATTGTTCCTCTTTTTTTTTCTTTTTTTAGGAATTAAGGGAAGGATTTAGTAGTGGGTGGGGGTGATGGATGAGGGTATGGGGTGGGGAGGGGATTTTTCTTAATAGTTTACAGGTGGGATTTTAAGGTGTGGTGTGGAAGGTGTGTCTAGGTGATGGGGAAGGAAGGTGAGTGCTAAGTGAGAGATGTGACTGAAGGAGGCTGATAAATTCTACTGATATAATAATAAAATTGTTGAATTATTATCAATTCTTATCATATTTTTCTCAAGGCTACAAGTCTACTGTAGGATTCATGATGTGGGAAAATCACAACACTAATTTTTCATTTATTTTATGCATGGAATCTTTCAAGTCATTTATATATCTTAAAGAAAAAAAAAGACTACTTCACAAGCACTTTATTTATGACTTCACTTTTCTAATGACCTACACTTGTTCAAGAGTCCACTGGAAAGCACACATAGGCTGTAGCTTAGGTGGGGGTCGCCCGGATAGTTGTGGTGGAGCGACTTTATCATGAGTACTGTTGGAGCTGAGGATAAACTGAGACGGCATGATAATACAGGGAGAGAACCGTTGGGGGGGGGAGGAGTGGTGGGAGAGAACACAACTTTTGATGGAGGCAAATGAATGAATTAGGCAGTAAGGGAGAGATGAGGGTGTGGGGAGAGGTCGGGGTGTGAGAGAGAGGTGGGGAGTGTTGGGGATGTGGTGGGAGAGGTGGTATAGGGTGCATGTGAGAGTGGTAGGGTGTGGGAAAGGTAGGTTAATGGAAAAGGTGGGTTGGAAGAGGAGGGGAAGGGGGGGGGGTAACTACTAGGGCGGAGGACTGTAGAGGAGGGAACTATGACTATGAGAAGACAGGTGAAGGAAGCAACCAAAGAATCATTCACATATGGAAGTGAAAGTATATGCCCAGGCGTTTAGTTAACAGGCTACAGAAATTAGATATGGTCAGGTCAAATCAGGTCACAGGGTGGTTGGGGGTGAGAAGCGAAGCAAACTTTACAGAAAACTATACGGGATAGAAGATAATGCTACACCACCCCATGTTAATAGTGAAGATGATGAAGAAGAAGGCTATGATGCGTATAATGTTTTGATAGTGTGTGTGTGTGTGTGTGTGTGTGTGTGTGTGTGTTTATAGTTTAAAGGTGTTCACTAATTTACTGATAGGTCTACTGCGGCCATAAGATACTCACCATTTGTTTCAACACTGATGTAAACGTTTGTTATTTACCTCTTATATAGTTTATTGGCTGTATAATCCAGGAGTAGGGAGGAAGGAGAGGGAGGAGGAGGAGGCAGGGGGGGGGGAGACAAAATTTAAGAGGAGAGAGTAATAGGCCTACCCCATCCCGACCTTCTCTTGGAAAACTCTGATCTTGGGATATCGACAGGCTATGTTGTGTGGATTAGATGAAGGGAAACATACATATATTTCCCTGAACGATGAGTTTCCTAAGTCCGAGAAAATATGTCAGGCTTACAGACACAGATGGGGAGAGAAGAGACCAGGAAGAAGAAGATGAAGAAGGAGGAGAAGAGAATAAAGGGGAAGGATAGAGGCGGAAGTTCGTCAGGTAGGGAGGATGAGGAGAAGGTACTAGAAGTGTCATTCAGGAAGACCTCGTGTTGAGACCTCGGCTGGCGGCGGGGAGGGGATGCTAAACTGGGGGTCATGGGTGCTAGTCTGGGGTCACAAAAGCTAGTCTGGGGTCATGGGTTCTAGTCTGGGGTCACGAAAGCTAGTCTGGGGTCACGAATGCTAGTCTGGGGTCACGGTGAGAATCTGAGGAACATAGGGAGATTAATGGTCAAGTCTCCTGATAAGATAGATAATCATGAACACAGGGACAAGATGAAGTTAATTTGGTGTTGTCAGGTGTTGTACAGGTGAGGGAAGGTGAAAGGATTAGAAGGAGGGTGAGTGAGACGGTAGGTAGGAAGAGGGAGGAGGAGTACAGGAGTGGATTACTTTAGGGGAGAACAGTACCGGTGTTGGCCTGATACACCCTGAGACACACAGGTGAGAGGGCTAGTCATAGGGAGGAAGGGGGAGGAGATAGGGAGGGTGGGAGATAGAAGGAGTGGGGATAGGAGGGTAGGAGATGAGGGAGGGGTAGGAGATAGGGGAGGGTGGGGAGATGGGGAAGGGGTGGGAGATAGGGAGGGTAGGAGATGGGGAGGGGTAGGAGATAGGAAGGGAGTGAGGGAAACGGGGAAGGGGAAAAGAGACAGGGGAGGGAAAGAGACAGGAAGGGTAGGGAGACAGAAGGCAGAGGAGCAGGAAGGGAAAGAGAGACAAGGAAGGAAATGAACAGTTGAATGACGGAGGTAAACGATGCCCACGATAGAAAATATAACATGAGGAACAAAAATCCATCAAAGCGTCAAATATAAACACTTCTAAATGTTTACATGACGCAAATAAATCCTTTGACGGGATTTCCTCTGCATGTTGAGGGTAGTGGGTCACTTTCTTTAAGGCTCTGTACCGCCATCTCTTATCATGGTACAGTAGTGACCATCCTGTAGTCCCAGCCTTATCATTTGAGTCCTTGGTAGATTTTGAGTTCAGTATCATGGTAGCTCTTAGATTCTTGTGGGTTTTAAAGTCTGTGTTATGGCAACTTTTGAATCTATAGTATTGTGTGTTATAGAATCTCTTAGTCCTATGGTAGTAGTGTATGGCAACTCTTAAATCTATGGTTGTACAGATGGCGTGTAGTGCAACTCTTAGTTTATGGTAGTAGC